TCAGTTTTCGTATCGATGGACGAGGGGCACAAGTATGATGCGGTATATCTCGACTTTAGCAAAGCCTTCGACAGAGTCCCCCACGAAAGACTAATTAGAAAGGTAGAATCACATGGCATCAAAGGTAATATCCTTAAATGGATTAGGGCATGGTTACAGAACAGGAAACAGCGAGTGAGCATTAACGGCAGTACAGTAAATCCTATTGGAGCAACGTCACTAGTGGAGTTCCCCAAGGCCATTATTATTTATTATATACATAAACGACATAGATATCGGCATAGACAGCAACATAAGTAAATTTGCTGATGACACTAAAATAGGACGTGTTATTAAATCTGACGAGGACTCCGCAAAACTACAGGAAGATCTAAAATAAATTTTCGAATGGTCTGAAAAATGGCAGATGAAATTCAACGTGGACAAATGTAAAGTACTCAGTATAGGAGATGTAAACAGGGAAACCAGTTACCAGATGAACAACGATGCCATTGAGAAATCCGACTGTGAGAGAGATTTAGGAGTAATGATAAGTAAGAACCTTAAGCCAAGTAAACAATGTGTTTTTGTTCGTAACAAGGCTAATAAAGTACTTGGGTTCATACAAAGGAGTGTTAGTTACAAGACTAGGCAGGTCAACTTACGATTATATCTTGCGCTTGTGAGACCTCACCTGGATTACGCAGTTCAATTCTGGTTACCGTATTACAGAATGGATATAGAATCCTTGGAAAGAATTCAGAGGAGAATGACAAGACTAATCCCGGGCATTAGGAACCTTGAGTACAGAGACAGGTTAAAGCATCTTAATTTGCACTCCCTCGAGAGACGTAGAGTGAGGGGCGACATGATCGAGGTGTATAAATGGAAGTCAGGGCTAAACAATGGGAACATTACAAAGGTACTCAAACTTTCCAACCAGGAGAGAACTCGTAACAATGGTTTTAAATTAGACAAATTTAGATTTAGGTGCGAAATAGGTAAACACTGGTTTGGAAACAGAGTAGTGGATGAGTGGAACAAGTTACCAAATATCATCATTAACTCGAATATGCTGGATAGCTTCAAACATAGGTTGGATGCTTATATGAGCAATAGGGGTTGGGTGTAAACGGGACTGTCCAGTAGGGGGCAGTGAAATTTTGCTCAAAGCTGCACTCTTCAGGCATTGTTCCTTATACATATCTAAGACTCCATGCCAAATTTGAAGCTGATATGTCGAGGTTTAGTCTGCCGCATTTTCTACTGAAATTTTTAAATTTACCTACAGTACTAGCCAAACAGCCGCTGTGGCGGTGCAATGTTCTGTTCAGTGTTTATCAACTTTTTTTTCATATCTCTTATTTCATTTAAGTTGTCTTGTTGCAGATGAGTATGGTGCTATGTCTATATTGATTATCAACCTTTTCTCATTTCATTTCTCAATGTTGTGTTACTGTACTGTAATGTAGGGGAGACCTGGGTAAGTTGGCGCACTTGAAATGAGCTGCCTTTCCGCGCAGTTTTTTATCACTATGATGGTAAACCAAGTGGTCCTGAGCATTGGCGTGGTCCCATTGGAAAGCAGATCAAGGAGTCTTTGTCTGAGCTTCCAGTTGTCGCCTTCCAGCCAGTCAGTTTCCCTGATTTCCCTGTGTTTAATGATGAAGTGGAGAAAGATCTGTCCTGGGATCAGAAATACCTGTATAGGATTTGTAAAGGAGTTATCACAGGTGTTGTTGAAGATGACTTGGCTGCTATTGAGCCAGGTCCTCCCTGTGTGTCAAGGTGGAACACCTTATGGAGTAGAATCCTCAGGCTGTATGTAGCAACATCAAGACCCAGCCATGAGTTGAAAAGAATTGTCATTACAATAATAAAGTTCAGTGCTCCAATGTGGTTTTACATCAAGATACACCCTTACGTAACACACGGCTCAAGGAACGTATTCCAGTCCCTGCTATATATGAAACACTTGAATAGTGAGGAGGAGACGATAGTGAAGAAGGCTGTCCAGAGAAATGCATACTTCGCCCACACAGATCAACTTCTTCTTGGTATGTGTGCAGATGAGGACATGACTGTTAGAGAAAAAGCTGTCTCAATGATAAGAAAAATTAGAGAGGAGAATCAGCAAAAGGAAGAATGCACTGGCAGATCTGAAGAGGAGGAGGAAGATTCTGATGCTGCTGTTGACGAGAATTTGTTAAACTATACTGATGAGGAGGGTAAAGATGGAGATGGGAATGAGGATGTGCCTCCTGTAGTCAACATGAGAAAGGTGGTGACTCCGAAACTAAAGTGGCAAGCAAAAAACTATCATTCCATGATTAACTGGAGGAATGAACTCAAGACTGAGCCTCCTTACATTGCTTCTCTGTCAAATCTACAGGTTAATGACATTCTTGAGACACCATTAGTGGTGCCCAAGTGGCCAAACAGCACTCAGGCGGTCGAGAGAGGCATAAAAGTGATGACTGAAGCTTGCACTGAAGTGACGGGATACGAATCGAGAGATGGATATATTAGGCAAAGATTATTGTCTAGGAAAATGATGCCAAGGTTCCGCACAAAAAAGAATTTCAATATGAACTTGTAATGATTTTCTATACGGTGTACCTGTAAAATAACATGTGAATTAAATCGATGTCACCCATGTAAAATTTATCATTATCCTGGAAAACATTAAATGACACCTAATTTTTGGTATACACTAAAAGTTGACAAAAAGTCGTTCGCGATGCGGCAGGGTAAGTATGCATGAAATGGCATGAAATTTTGCACAGGTGTTTGTTACAGCCATACAAACGATGCCTGAAAAGTGCAGCCTGCAACTCAAATAAAAGTGTTTTTTCCCTGCCCCCTACTGTCCAGTATGGGCCAATGGGCCCGCTGCAGTTTCCTCTATTCTTATGTTCTTATGTTCTTATGTTCTTATGTAACGTGAGATTCATGTGGGTCACGTTGCTACAGGCGCAAAACATCAACCCTGTATCTGGGCGGTTGTCTGTAAGTGCTTTGGTGTATTAAGTTGCCGACCTGTCACATTTGTGCTCCAAGGACAAAAACCATTTTAAAATAAATTTATGGTTTTGGCTTATATATAAAGCTGAATAATATTAATATATCGCAAAATACATATAAACCGTTAAGGATAACCAGTTCTGGCTCACTTTAATGCTGAATTTATTGTCTGTAAAGATATAAGTAAAAAAGAAAATGTTTGGAATAAAGAATATTTACCTTCGAAGTCACAAACAAATTTACGCTTTAGGAGAACCCATTCACCACTACTTCTTCTCTATTCACTAACTATTATGTATATCAAGAGAAATGACACCAAACATATAAAGCAACGAATAACAAGGCCATTTTTTAAATAGTAGAATTAACTGTAGACAACCAATATTCATGTAAAGATGAACTTAATGGGGAGGCTGATAATAATTTATTTAATGTTTATTAGTCATGTGTTCGAGAACGATACAAGTATATATTCAGCTCACCTTCCTGTATGAGTGAACGCTTATGATCAGTTGTATGACATAACTTTATGTCAGAAATAGGATTATGCTCCCTATAATATGGGTTATTAATACACCTGGCAATGGGTGACACTAAAAACAAACTCGGTAAGAGAAAAGCTAGCAGGACAAGGTAAAATCTGTGTCATGCTGGAGAAAATAGTCCTTTTGGCGTGCACCTCCCTGGTCATTTTCGAATCAATGAGTGAACCATCCACTCCATATTCGAGCCTAATAATGTATACTAGAGTCAGAAGTGCCAACACAGCTGATTCATGACCTCTTCTGGGGTTTTTGCTCGTTTTCTATTCCACTGACCCTGGGGTCACAATACTTTTTTGGATTGGCTGTACATACACGTAAGATTTTGATTTATTGGATCAGGTCTAACAGAGTTTTATCATTTCTTTTTCTTTTACAATGAAAGCTCTTTATAACGTAATAGGGTGTCCTAGAAAAATGTCCCTCCCTCCAACTCACAGTGTCTCAGGGAGCAAGAAGGGAAGCAGTCAGGGAGCAGGGAGGGAGGCAGGGAGCAGGCAGGGAGGGAGGGAGACAGGCAGGGACATATTTTGGGACACCCTATAAATGAAACCTAAATAAAACCAAAACTCTTTTTTTGTTATAATCTTTGCAATGAGGGAAACTGTAGTAGAAAACCTCCCTCCTAACAACAAGTGCCAAACATGACGTCAGGTGCTACCCTTGGAGACGGACGGTCAAATAATTTATCGCATGGTGGAACTCGACTCCAAATATGGTGTACAATGAGCTCAGTGTTTATGTGTGAGAAACTAACTTGCATAATGTGTGTAACAGGTTTGTAGTCTACGTCAACGGCAATATCTTGGCTAAAATTATAGTTTTCCACTAGTGACAGTCATATGTGCACTCATCAGTGCACATATTGCATGTACGCACACATAATTGCAAGTGTGTGTGATTGATTTTGATTTTGCCGCTTACAGCGGCTACTTTATTGTGCACCCCACACTCATCCTGTGAGTGGTAGCGCAAAAGGATTACAGAGTAGAGTTTACAAAGGGTCATAATAGTTAACCCCCTTTGTCAGGATATTATGGCACTGAATGTTACACAGTATTTCATTTACATTATTTGTTTAGTTCTATACATAAAGGGTAACTTATTCACAAATGCATGAGTTCAGGCGTGTGAGGCAGTATGTCTGGCCTCACAAGGGTTGGATTAACCATTAAGCAAAATAAGCACGTGCTTAGTGCATCAAGGGAAGGGGGGCACCACAGAAATTTTCCATAGCCGGATTTACCATGGACCATGGACCATATGGTGCAAAATTGCAAATGGTGCAGCTGAACCAGGGTTCACAAAAAGAGGCCCACACATTAAATGAAAAAAATACATACATATATATACAATAATAATAATAAATAGTAATTATAGAAGTTAATGATATACATTAACCTTGGGGATACAGAACAACAAAATTAGGATCTGGTAACTGCCCCATGGTCCACGGAGGCTCACGTGAACGTTCTTGTCTTGCCCGGCCGCCTTGGTCATGTCGGCTGTCCCGTTCAGTCGTCCACTTAGTCTGAGAGTGAGTGCAGTGGCGCTCAGTAGCTCACTCAGCGTTCAGTGTGCCAACAACACACGTGCTAACATTGTAACTTTGTAAGTAAGCTGATTTCTGTTTTTTTATTTCTCTCTCTCCCCCCTCCTTTCAATTTTCATGACACTGACAACAGATAATATAATTAATGTTTCATAATTTTGTGGATTGGTAGTGCTTATGAAATATCATGAAACCCATGAAAATGGCCAAACGGTGTATAGTGCTGCTTTTGACTATGCATGTATTTTCTGATTTTTATTTATCACATGGTGGTGGACTGGTGGTGATAACTGAGTTTGTAGTTCATTACATCAATTTACGTGGTGCTGGTGATGTCTCCATGTGTTTTTTTGTACATGGTGCCATGGTGGTGGTGGTGGTGAGGAGCCTGAGGACAGCGTGTGTTTTATTTCGTCACGTGGTGGTGGCAGTGACTAAGTTTATTTTATCACGTGACACAAGGCAGCCTGCATCCACGCGCTACTACTACGTGGGTTCGAGTCCCGCTGACGCTACTAATTTATACCGCCCACCCAGCAACTCCACTTTTCAGTTTACAAACTCTGAGTTTCACTTATATGTGCGCCATAAGTTCAGTGCAACAAAAAAATGTAAAAACAAGATTCAGTCATGCTGAACTTTATAAAATGATTGTAGAAGACAATATTGAGTGTGCCTTTCCGCATGTTGATATTGGCTTTCGTTTATTTTTAACATTAATGGTCACAAATTGCTCAGCTGAGCGTTCATTTTCTAAGTTGAAGTATATTAAAAATCCCATCAGAACAACTATGCAACAAGGCAGGCTGGATGCCTTATCTCTACTAAGTATAGAAGCAGATGTGTTACGTAAGACTAGTTTTGAGGATCTGATCAAAGACTTTGCAATTAAAAAAAGTAGGAGAAAACTTTTCAACTATAAATAAATTGGACGTATACAAAAATAAACATTATTTTCCATCTTACTGTAAATTTTGTTTAATTTCGAAAAAATAACATTTTATTTTATGGTTTATTATTGTTTATATTTTGAATTACATATATATGGGGGGGGGGGCACCAAAATCTTTTAAGTGCTTAGGGCCTCTAAGGGTCTTAATCCGGCCCTGGGCCTCACACTTTGTTATTCACATTTACGTGAGAGGTATTCAAGCACATTGCGTATTTGGTTCTGTACATGAGAATTGATATAGTTACTAAGTGCAAAAAGTGGATACAATCTTAATATGTCGGCTATCTTGCCATTAGAGATGAAGTGTTGTACCATTTCACACACAGTGTGCTTGGATCTGTCCCTAAAAGGTTCTATCTTCACACAGTCGAGGACGTAGTGTTCAAGTTGTGTGGCCATATGTATGGCCACACACTTTACATTTAGTTTTGTTTACATCTGCTTGAGGAACATACTGCCAAAGGTATTTATATCCTAACCTTAATCTAGTGGTTACAACATCTTGTAATCTAGTGATCTTGTTACTTGCTCCATATACATGTTTCACTTGATACATCTCATCATGGTAACCTATGGATCGACTAGTGCCTGTTTGCACTAATCTACTTGCGTCACACTCATCAATAAGTTCTTTCCTAATTACAGTTTTAAGGGTTCTTTTTGACAGACCCAAATTGTATTCAACGGTGTCTTTGTTAGACAAGAGTTTGGCGAGGGCATCAACTCTGTCATGTTTTTTGAGGCCTATGTGAGAGGGGATCCACAACAGTTTGACCCTAACACCCCGGTCAACAAGGCACGCATATTTGTGTCTGGCTTCAGAGACAAGAGCGTGACAACCTGAGTCGAGGGTGCCAAGGGCAAGTAGTGAGGATAGAGAGTCAGTGATGATGAGACTGTCAGTAACAGTGGTTTCAATGAATTTAATAGCTGTGAGTATGGCAACTAATTCAGTTTGTAGAGTGGATGCCCAGTTGTTAATTCTAACTCTTTTCTCAATTATATTACCGTCAGGTTGAGTCACAACAATAGCACTTCCAGCCCTCCCTCAGGCGGTGTTAAGAGATCCATCAGTGTAGATGGCCTGTGTGATATTATCATCAGTCTGTAGAGTGTGTACGTGTTCAAGAGCTCTCAATTTGGCAGTGTTGGAGATAAATGCTTTGTATAATTAATTTTTTCGGCGAATACGTCGGTATTGTGATATCGAAGGGAACTGTCCGCCAGGGTGGCAGGAAGCGCTGTTGTGTCTCTACTTTGTACAGGTGGTCAAGTGTGTGTGAGTGGGTGTGTGTGTGTGTGCGTGTGTGTGTGTGAGTAACCTTCACCACTCGTACATTCGTACGTGAGTTCATGTGATATATAAGATGACCCCCTGCTCTCTCGTGCCTCCTCCTAGTACCAAGACAGTGCCAAGAAGTAAAGGTCATGGCACTCCCTGGTGGCACTTCACTCCACCTCGCGCTCTTCCTCTCTTTCCTCATCACTCTTCCCACCGCTCATCTAGAAGATGTCGATCATTCTCTCTATGCCCACACCGAGAATGAACTTCGAAGAAACATCCTCATCAACCAACTAGCCATCCAGGAGTTGCTGAGGCAGGTGAAAGAGCAGAAGGAGGTCTCCACTACGTGCAGCCACCCTGGTAAGTAACCCCCATACATACATAACTTTGTTCCACACTTGTAATTTAGATATAAGATAAAAATTCCAATTAAGTACAATATTCAGGACACATACAACTACACAACACCACATTATTTGGATCCCTAACATACACAGGGCCAAGGGATGTGATTTCTTTGGCCATATGTTTGCATTCATGTTCACAACCAACAGATTCCGACTTTATCCTCTTCGTATTATACTTCATTATAAATCCTCGACTATTTTCTTTTAGCCGATGTGCGTTATTTTAGTATAATATATCATCAGTTTATTCTCAAAAATTGTTCTACTGATCATTCTCTTGTTGTGTCCAAACTCTTCAAACTATGTGTTCACACTTCATTCTCACTCATCTTATAGAAAGATTCCAACAATTATCCAGCAATAGAGAGACGAGATAACGCAAACCGTACATATAATTGCATTCACTGAAACATGGATCAACCTAGACACACGTGAATTACCAGTCGAATACCAAATTGCGGGTTACAAACTGTTCCATACCGATAGGCAGACCAGGAAAGGAGGCGGAGTAGCAATCTATGTTAGGGATAATCTGAAGTGTGAAATAAATAAAGAAATAAAAACTGAGAGGAATACAGAAACAATTTGGATAGAATTGCTGTGGACGGTCAAAAAATTAATCACAGGAGTATAATATATAGAATTCCCCAATCTTGATAGCCAATGAGCGACTTATCTGGGATGAAATGCGACAAGAGGGCTTCCATAAGGCTACACAACAAAGTCTGTATAGTAGGCGACTTAACCTTGGCCAAATAGATTGACTGACCTACGGGCAACTTCCAGAATCAGAGGATTTTCTCGAGACGATCCAGGACTGTTCTCGTCAACATATAACCGAACCCACACGCAATAATATACTGATTTAGTTCTGTCGAACAGAGAAAACCCCTACATTAGCAATGTCGAGGTAGAAATCCAACTGCAAACAGGATCACAAAGAAATTCGATTCCAGTTAGATTTTCAGGGCAGACGAAGGAAAATTCCAATAAAGTACCACAGATTTCAGAAGGGCAAACTTGACAGTTTAAAGAGGCAGCTGAGAGAGGGGGTGTCGCGCTTGGCAGTGAACCTGACAGATGACACCGACCTGATAACGAGATCTGAGATTGCCGAGTTCCACGTCAATTTAAATAGTGAGTTACTTAATGCACAAAGGCAGAACATACCATACAAAAAACTCAGATCAGACAACAATGACCCAAAATGGATAAATAATTATTTTTAGAACATCATCGGCCAAAGGAAGGCTATAGGTAGAAGGATAAATCGTGGCGAAATTCACCTCCGGGACTATTATAGGGTATTGGCGAGTAGGGTTAAAACCGAGATAAGGAAAGCAAAGAGGAATAATGGTAAGGATAGCAAGGGGAGGCGAAGACAAAACCCCAAAGGATTCTACCAAATATCAAACTAAAACACGAGAAAGATTGACCAATACGTACCGATTCCTCAAGAAAGCTCACTGATAACGATGGAGAAATGAGCAATAATTTGAATAAATATTTTTCAACAGTTTTCACCACCGAAAATTTAAACATGATACCCGAGGCACCGACTCTATTCAGAGATAGTGAAGAAAACAAATTAAGTGAGATAGTAGTGACTAGTAACGATGTTAGTAAGCAAATAGACAAATTAAATCCTAATAAGTCACCTGGTCCCGATGAGATATTTGCCAGAGTATTAAAGGAATGTAAGGAAGAGCTTAGTATGCCCTTAGCAAAGTTGTATAACATGTCCTTAAAAACAGGTGTAGTACCAGAATCCTGGAGGATAGCGAATGTAATACCGATTTTCAAGAAGGGGAATAGATCACTATCCTCTAACTACCGCCCAATCAGTCTAACATCAATAGTAGGCAAATTACTGGAAGCAATCATTTCAAACTCTATTCGAAATCACCTGGAGAAGCACCGATTGATCAATGATTCCCAGCATGGCTTCACAAGGACGTTCTGCCTAACTAATCTATTAACATTCTTTCTATCGCACCAGATCGGGTGGACGAGGGGCAATAATTATGAGGGGTATATCCTCACTTTAGTAAAGTCTTCTGGACAGAGTCCCCCACGAAAGACTAATTAGGAAAGGTAGAAGCCTATGGCATCAAAGGTGACATCCTTAAATGGATTAGGGCGTGGTTACAGGACAGGAAACAGCGAGTGAGCATTAACGGCACTAAGTCCCATTGGAGCAACGTCACAAGTGGAGTTCCCCAAGGCTCAGTACTTGGACCATTATTGTTTATTTTATACATAAACGACATAGATATCGGCATAGACAGCAACATAAGTAAATTTGCTGATGACACTAAAATAGGACGTGTTATCAAATCTGACGAGGACTCGGCAAAACTACAGGAAGATCTAAACAAATTTTTCGAATGGTCTGACAAATGGCAGATGAAATTCAACGTCAACAAATGTAAAGTACTCAGTATAGGAGATGTAAACAGGGAAACCAGATACCAGATGAACAACGATGCCATAGAGAAATACGACTGCGAGAGAGATTTAGGAGTAATGATTGTATGTATATTATGTATGCTGGATTATGTATTATGTATGTATATTATGTATGTGCTCCATTTATATTTATTCAGCCTAGCTAGCAGCGTGTGGCAATGTTATTACCATATCCCACACGCTTAATTAATGTGCCTGGCGACGTATGGAAGCTGCTAATGTATCACTTGCCATACGTCGTCTATGGTAGTTGACCAGGACCTTAGTTAGGGAGCAGTGCTATCCACCTCTGTGTACATACTCTTATCCAGTAAACCGAACCTACAAAACTATACAGGTGTTTGTGTTCTCTCCTGTATATAGAACTTATTACCCAGAACATCTAACATGGCGCAGTGCGTAGTTTCACTGGATTATTACGAATGATTAGTGCAAGTTTGTGGAAAGCCGGCTGATGGATCCCCGCCTTGGGTCAACCCCGCGTCATCCCTCGAAGAATTTCGCAACTTTGAGCAGTGTCAGTGACAGTGATTTTCTGTGAAGTGTTAAGTGCATGGTGTGTTTCGTGCCATTCATGTGTGACCTTGTTCGAACGGATTTCCAAGGTATACGGCATGTTCTGGGCATTTGTGGGGTGTAGAGCTCAGCGCACCCTCCTCTGACCGTTTACAGAGAGCGACTGAGCTACTCCTGTCTCCACCCCCCTCCCTCACAGCGCCGCCTCCACCCCCCCTCACAGCTGGGGCGAGACGCTTTGCCCGGGACACACACACACACACACATACATGTACTAACACTTGCTGACCGCGCGGCTTCATTATATATATTTTATATATATAACCTACTTATCTGTGTATTTAATTAATTTTTTTGTCTGAAATCTTGTTGATACGACGGGCTGACCGGTCAACACTGATTTAAGACACAGTACACAGATAAAGTAGTTATGTCTCATGCCTTACGTAGCCGTGGACCCAGCGCCTGGATGAGTCAAGCGGATGACAGTCCCCCAGAGATGGATGACCAGGCCGGCCCAGCTCCCACAACATCGCGCAGCCCTTCACCTCAACATTCAGCGTTATCTCCAGAGATAATTGCCTTAATGAAGTTTATGAGAGATGAGAGACGCGAGGATGAAGCTCACAGACGTTTGGCGGATGAGTACAGAAGGCAAGCAGAGGCAGAACGAGACCACCAACGGAGAATGGAAGACAGTGCACGGTTTGAAGCCTTGATATCTCGCCTCACTGTTAACCAAGCCCCTGGCTCTAACACTGCCTCGGTACTGAATGGTTCAGATACCTCATCCATGCTTCCTTCACGCCCCCCAGCCCCACCTAAAGCAGCAGCTCAAACGCCGCCCATCTTGGAGCCTGATGTAAATTTCCAGACTTTTCGCGAATGGCGGCGGCGGTGGGCTGATTATGCCACAATGGTGGATCTCCAGAGTTTGTCACAGCCTAAACAACTCATCCAGCTGCGTATGTGCCTGTCCTTGGAAGTTCAGCGCGTCTTAGAACATACGTTGCAGGTACCCCCAACCTCTTCGCTGTCTGTAGAGGAGGTACTGGACGTTCTACAACGGCACATCAAAGGACAGCAGAATGAAGCTCTGCGCAGGAGGGAATTGTTTAGCTGCAGACAGATGGAGGGTGAGTCTTTTGACGCTTTTTATGTACGTCTTAAGAGAGCCTCGGAAGAGGTAGATATATGTTCAGGCCACCACCAGCAGTGCGAGGAGACCCAGTTGAAGCAGGTGATCCTGATGGGTGTTAAGGACGAGGAACTTGTCCAACGCCTCACCTCCCTCGACTCTTCCTCTTCTCTTCAGGATGTGTTGACGATATGTCGCTCCTATGAGGCTGCCAGGTGTGCCACCTCTGCCATCCGAGCTCCCCCTACAGCTGTACGCGCTGTTTCCCGGTACAGGAAGGACAAGAAGTCTGCTCCTACGCCTTCGCCCACCACGTCCACGCCCGGTTCATTTTGCAACAACTGTGGTAAGCAGCACGGAACACAGGTATGTCCAGCTGCTCAGTCTACCTGCAACAGTTGTGACCGTAAGGGCCACTGGTCACTCACAGTACGGTGCCCAGCTAAACGCGTCCAGTGCAATGTGTGCGGCCGTCTGGGCCACTATGACAAGTGTTGCCCTTCCAACAAACCCAAGGAACAGCGTCAACGGAAGCTTCAGCGCCCTTCTACCAGAGAGGGCCGCCCACAGTCTCCCAATCAGAGGCACGACGACCCTGGACAACGCTGGACCCATTTTAGGAGGGTGTACTCCTCGCATCCCAGGACCAAAGTCACCCAGTACATCAGCGCCATCGTGACCTACGGCGGCGTGTCATCCCGTCTTCAGATGTTGCCCGACACCGGCGCTGATGCTACAGTCATCGGTCCCCAGCATTTGCGATGCTTGGGGCTCTCTCCAAGCGATCTAGGACCGCCTCCCGAGGACCTCTGCGTCATGGCAGATGGTTCACAGATGGCCCCAGCCCTGGGTTCACTCTATGCACATGTCACCTTTGGCAACAGGTCGTGTCAGGCCTGGATTGACGTGCATAATGGTGTCCCGACTCCTTTGCTGTCCTACAGACATTGCCAAGAGTTGGCCATCATCTCCCAGGACTTCCCAACACCGATTCTTGAGGTAAATTACGCCAACAGGGTGCACGAAGGGAGCAGCAACTACCCTGCTGCCGCCCTACCCCTACCTCTGGCCAGCGACACCTCTCCTTCGGTAGTTGCCCCTGCTGCATCACGTCCCCACGCCTTGGCTCGCCTTCACGACAGTCACCGTGGAGCTGAGGCCACCAAACGACGTGCACGACAGACTGTGTTCCGGCCTGGCATCGACCCCGACATCTCCAATGCTGTCCAGGTGTGTAAGCCCCGCCACGTATTACAACCCAGCCAGCAGCAGGTACCCTTCATGAGTGACGACAACCCCACCCGCCCCTTTGAGTCTGTGTCGGCCGACTTTTTCTGTGTGTCAGGAAAGTCCTTCCTGGTTATCATCGACCGTCTCTCTGGTTGGCCGGTTGTCATCAAGGGCGGTAATGACACGACGTCTGCCGCCACCATCAGCAAGTTCCGCCACTACTTCCGTGACGTGGGCGTTCCTGCACGCCTGCGAACCGACGGAGGGCCTCAGTTCACAAGCCGGGACTTTGCTGCGTTCCTTGACCGATGGGGAGTCCGGCATGTGTTGTCATCGCCCCATTACCCGCAGTCCAACGGCCACGCTGAGGCTGCTGTCAAATCTTTGAAGCACCTCATCCTTAAGGTGGCCCCTTCTGGGAACATTGACTGCGAGGCCTTCGACCGGGGTCTTCTTGAACTCCGCAACACACCCAACTACACCGGACGCTCCCCTGCCCAGGTTTTGTATGGGCGCCCCCTTCGTTCTTGTGTCCCTGCTCACCCTCAATCCTTCTCCAAGGAGTGGCAGGCTAAGACAGAGGATTGTGATCGCCGAGCAGCCGAACGTGTTCAGGACGTCGTCGCCCGCTACAACGACCACGCCCGTTCTCTCCCCAGGTTGAGTGTCGGTACCCAAGTCCGTGTTCAGGACCCGACCTCCCTACGTTGGGACAAAGTAGGCGTAGTCATGGGTCTCGGCAGGTCACGGGACCACCAGGTGCGGTTACCCAGTGGTCGTGTGTGGTGGAGGAACCGCCGTTTTCTCCGCCCCGTAACACTGCCTTCTGCTGGCCCCGCCACCAGTGTTGAGTCCCATACCCTTCCCAGTGATGAAGTCCCTCGACGCTCAGAACGGATCCAGAAGAAAAGGTCCGCTCAAGACGTTGCTATGAGCGTATAGGGGGGAGGGAGGTGTATGTATATCATGTATGCTGGATTATGTATTATGTATGTATATTATGTATGTGCTCCATTTATATTTATTCAGCCTAGCTAGCAGCGTGTGGCAATGTTATTACCATATCCCACATGCTTAATTAATGTGCCTGGCGACGTATGGAAGCTGCTAATGTATCACTTGCCATACGTCGTCTATGGTATATTCAGGACCTTAGCTAGGGTTGAGTGTTACCCACCTCTGTGTACATACTCTTATCCAGTAAAACCGAACCTACAAAACTATACAGGTGTTTGTGTTCTCTCTCCTGTATATAGAAACTTATTACCCAGAACATCTAACAATGATAAGTAGAATCTTAAGCCAAGTAAACAATGTGTTTTTTGCTCGTTACAAGGCTTACAAAGTACTTGGGTTCATACAAAGGAGCAAGTTAGTTACAAGATGATACAAAGGAGTGTTAGTTACAAGACTAGCGAGGTCATCCTAAAACTGTATCTTGCTCTTGAGACCACACCTGACATGCAGTTCAGTTCTGTATTACAGAATGATAGAATTCTTGAAAGAATTCAGAGGAGAATGACAAGACTAATCCCGGGCATTAGGACCTTGAGAGAGAGACAGGTTAAAGCATCTTAATTTGCACTCCCTTGAGAGACGTAGAGCGAGGGGGACCTGATAGAGGTGTATAAGTGGAAGGCAGGGCTAAACAAGGACATAAAGGTACTCAAATTATCCAACCAGGAGCGAACTCGTAACAATGGTTTTAAATTAGACAAATTTCGATTTAGGCGTGAAATAGGTAAACACTGGTTTGGAAACAGGGTAGTGGATGAATGGAACAAGTTACCAAATATCATCATTAACTCGAATACGCTGAATTGCTTCAAACATAGGTTGGATGCTCATATGAGCAATAGGGGTTGGGTGTAAACGGGACTGCCCAGTATGGGCCAATAGGCCTGCTGCAGTTTCCTCCATTCTTATGTTCTTATGTTCTTATATGTGCCCTCATTAGTATATTAATCTTTAACGTAATTCAAGTTGATAAGTTATGGCATACCAAAACCATTTACTGTAAGTCATGGACACTCTCAGTTGGAATAATTCTGTCATATGTAGATGGTGTGTTTTGTTGGGGCACTTCTCATTATTTAGGGCAGAAAATATCAAAGATATTAATAATGATATTCTTACAGAAAAACTTTCCACCATTGCATATTCTCAGGGATATATCATCGCTTTCTCTGTTCTATAGATATATCTAGTGTTCTGACGAGTTAATCCCAACAGAGGAGACCACACATCCACAATGGATCTGAGAGGACATCTAGGAGGGTCATGATTTATCTGCTGATATTTCGCTCTACCGAACCTTTATCTACCAAAACTCACTTGTACTCCGGACTAGCTCTTGATGGAACTTCCTTCCACAAAGTGCCTTTTCTATTTCATTCACCTCCATCAGTCTTTGCCTTGAACTAAGTGTGGTCGGTAAACAATAATTCTGTTTTTCTACATAAATATTTTCATGAGGTGCTTTATATTCTCGGTGACGCTAATTGTGTACCTTATAAAGATTTTTTTTTCAGAAAGGTGTTGCCCAGACCCGTTCTTCCCTGTAAACGAAGAATGTTTCTTCATCAACAAAGAGAAACAGAACTGGCCCACTGCCAATGCCACTTGCCATGAGCTGGACGGGAAACTCGCTGAACCTGATAATGTCATCGTACTCCTAGAAGTTTTGCGTCAGAAGTTAAGTAAGTATATCAGATGATTTTTAAACATTAATAGTCATATAGATACTCGTATCTTCAACACACTGAAGCAATAGTAATGACTTCGCTACCTCAAGCAGTATTAATTTCTACATATGAGAATTTTCTTTGTTCACAGATACCAGAAACAATGCCTGGTATTGGTTGGGAGCTCGTAAATATTCACATGCGGAAAATTGGACTTGGCCGTCTGGTCGTCCTATCAAACACTGGCATAGCGGGCAGCCTGACCAACGACCCGCAGAGTTTTGTCTTATGATAACTCTGGGTAAAATCACTCCTGTGTATGACTATTTCTGCGATCATGAATACGAAAGTATTTGTGAGTACATGGACGAGGGCATTTAGGAGGACTACCGGTCCTTGTGGTCAGAAGTGTGAAAAAAAAATTCTGAGGTCAGCCTCACACATCGTTAACATGGTGATCGCTTGATGCTCAACAGTGTGGAGGCTCAGACAGCTTTGGTTAGTGCATGACGTGGCAATCTAAATCTAAACTTATCTTAATTGAGTCGGACCCAAGCTGAGCAGATTATGTGCAATATTTACTAGCCCCGGTTTTTTTATGGGAATGGTTATAGTGTGTGTATAAACATTTAAAGATATCAAAAGTACTGTATTGTTTATATCAACTCACACATCACTTATGTATCGTCTAAATGCCTTTTACTTTCACCAGGTACATTGTCCAATGTCCATGCTTCTTTTACACAGTGATGTTTTCACTTCAATTTGTAGCACAACTCTGCTTACACAAAAAATCAGTATAAACCTTTTTTTTTACATATTTTTAAATCAGGTTATTATGAGAACAGACGAATAGAAATAAGAGGGAGTCACTTCATCTGTGTCGTCACCATTTGCCCCTCTTCCCTCCCCCCTCCCGTAACCTCACTGATTGACGGACCTCACTTGTTAAACCTGACAAATCCCTGTCTGGGTATCTTCCTTCCTTTCAAAATATTTACTTATCCTGGGGCCAAGTGCTGGTACAGTACATGGATTTGAAAATTTACTTGTGTGGCCTCTAGGTCGGCCAAGCTGGCTGGGTTGCCGGGCACTGCTGATCTGCACAGCCTGGGTTTCGGTGCTTTGTATTCATAAGTATCTCACTGAAAATAATTATAAAATATCTTTATTGGCAAATGGCAATTGTGTGTATACCTGTACTGTGTATGTATTATTGTTTGTATACTCGCACTTTGTATGTATTATTGTTTGTGTACCTGCACTGTATATGTATAGTGTATTTTTGCACTGCCTAATGTGTCTATGATAAACAGGTATACATGCTGAATCAGAGTAAATATGTATTTTGATTTTAATGAATTAAAACCTATATATATGTACAAACAATACCTCAATAGTCAAGAATCGAGCCCGGGACCTCTGCATGTGATCAGGGAGCGCTACCACGGCACCGTTGCAGTCTCGTGCTTTCTAGCTGGAGTCTGTAAAATGCAACTAGGACCACGGGTTATCTCTTACGTTGCTTAAGAATAAGACGAAGGAGCAGACTATGTGTGAAATACATCAAAGCCTAGGATAACTTTTAAAAATGAACATACAAATCTTCAATAATTGGAGCCCAGCCTGTGTATCCCCGAAGTTGTTTTACAAACTAATAGATGGACAACACATGAACATGTAACTGTGGGAGACACAGTTGTCGCAGTGGTTGGGTGAGGATAATGCTGTTATGTTATTGCCCAGATCAATCGAACTGAACAGAATAGTAAATTGTTGTGGTGAAGTCTGCAACAGCATGGCGATCTCAAAATCAAATACAATTTAGAGTAAAGTTTTTAAGAAAAGAAAAACACTGACAATCTCGGTGTAATATCTGATGAGAAAAGACCAGAACTGGCAAGTGAGTTAAGGTGCCTACGCCAGTAAACCAAAGGAAATGTTGATATCAATAACAAATAGTGTAGAAACTTTGAGAGCCGAGGTGGTGAAAGTTTCATCATCAAGCCGGTAAAGTGTGTGTGTACAGGAAGACTTGTTCAGATTACCAACTCGGTGGATAAGTGAACACAACACTGGACCATTACTTGTTGAATTACTCGAGGACTGATAGCACTTTATTGACATCGAGAAGTACATAAGCACATAAACATAAGAAAATAAGGAGTCTTAGGCCGATTGGCTTGTGCATGGCAGCTCCTGTCGAGAGTTAGTACCACTCTCTATCGTCCATGAATCTATCTAGCCTCCTTTTAAAACTTGCCAGCGTTCCAGCATTTACTACAAAGTTGCTAAGCTTGTTCCACTCGTCCACCACCCTATTTGTGAACCAGTTCCTTCCTATCTCCCTCCTAAACCTAAACTTATCTAACTTAAATCCGTTGCTACGAGTCCTATCCTGCTCGGATATTATAAGATCTTTATCTATATCGCCTTTATTGATACCTTTCACCCACTTAAATACTTCTATTGTATCTCCCCGTATACTGCCGAGACTGGGGTCACTAAGTCTAAGGAGATAACTTAACTCTAATCTTAATTTCTAAGGGTCGCTGCCACCAGACCCCCTCTGGACAGCATGTAGCTCGTTAGGTAGCGGGCAGAGTGGACTAGGCATTGGGTTAGGTTTTCCATTGACCAGATCGATAAGGGTAAAGAAGGGGGAAACCATAACATGTCTTAATTGATTTATTCCTTATAAAACATACTGGTAAACAAACATATACATGAATTGGCCTTCTTCAGAAGAACAACGGAATTTTGGTTACCCAGCTGGGCCCCAGACTCTTACATTGCTGGCGGGTCATCCACCTACTTATTGCATAACAATCGGTGAACGCCGTACCTCGGTCGTTCCTTCTTACAATATCCCTTAACACATCAGACTGCTCCACCTGTGTGGACTATAGCACCGTCGGTTATCATACATAGTAGCACCATCTCAACACACCTGTTACACTCCATACCTGCAAGTATGTGACTCCTTGTGACTTTTAGGTATACACAACGGGCACCTCGTTCGCACACCGCCCTCGGTGGGTAAAGACGAGGGCTCCACCTAGAGACATACCAGCACTATTTCTACGCCTGGTATTATAGGTCGCTCCAAGTGACGACCGCAGTTTCTCACGGTCTCCTTAGTTGTGACTATTCATGTGGAGTGGTGCGCTGGGAATCCACCGGTTCACAGTGGACTGGTATAGCGGGGAGTAACCCCCACCTGTTGTGACGCTCAAGGGGACAATGGCGGCCGGGCGGCAAGAGACTCCGACCGCATGGCACCTGAGGTGACGGCAGAATGGGAAGGACTGAGCAATAATGCCTGATGGGCAGTTATCCCACCCCTTAACACATCCCCATCACACTTATATATCGGGCAAAGCTTTAAACTGTAGTAACTTCTATTTATAAACCTTAATTGTAGGGTGGGATATAGCCCGATAGGACACTGACCTGAGGTGACGGCAGAATGGGAAGGACTAAGGCCGGTGCGCCGCCGCTCCCCGTCACATAGGCCTACAGTTTCCAAGCCTTAAGTTTCCCTTTTGTTTCTCAGGGTTCTCACCTTAACACTTTTCGGTATATTGTCACTCATGTCTTATAAACACATATTTTAATCCTAAATTACACACTAAGGTAAGGTCTTGGTTTGCTAGCGCTTGGGTAAATGCCTGGGATTATAATATCAACGTGGCATCTGAGGCGGGTACATGACGCGCCTTGAAACAAAGGCCGAATGATCATGGCGGGGGTGTATCAACTTCACTTAAAAACTGTAATGAGGGATCCTCCTCTCACACATTGCACTATTTGAACACAGACATAAGATTCTCTGATCACTGTACCTGTCGTGGGTATATGTCACGTGAGGCTACGAGGTGTATTAACTTCATACCGACGCATACACGATATTTCCTTTCAAGTATAGTTTCTAGATCACTGTCAACACCTCACATAGTTCTGATACATTTATCCTTTTTCCAGATCATTGTTCTCATGTATTTTCATATGATATCTGTTGGAGTTATGTTCGCTACACGCTCACAGACGTAAATAGTAGGACCTTCAAACCCTGATCCACACTTAGTCTTACAGTACACTCGTCCGGCTCAACTGGACTTTAACATTCATCTTATGCCTACCCTGAGTGATCCTTAATGCTATGAATACATACACTTGATATGATATAACTATACCTGGGTACAATACAACACATGGTCTAGGAACCTTGAGTAGGTGAGTTGTCCTTTCTCAATGTTTCCCGTTTTCTGAGGTTCTACAAGCGCGGTGCATTTGAATGTTATGTAGCGTAATATGAATTAAATGGGATTTTTAGGGATGACAATGATGTGCGCAGTACATAGCCTTCCCCTCCCAAAGATTCATATTATGCGAAATAATATGCAAAGCACTAACGCTGTAGTGTACAGTATATACATTTTACAACATCCTAACAGTTCATGATTAGAGTACCTTAATACATCACACAAAACATAAGGAGACTTAAACGTTTCCTACGAGCGTCTCCGCTACCATATACATCAGACAACCATTTACAATCCTGCTAGTTCGGTATACAATATATCAGTAAAAAGAAAATTATAAGGAGACAAACCTTTCATACTCGAGTCTCCGTTACCTGTAACTACCACAACTTATCAATTCTTATTTCAGTACACTATAGTATAGGGAACATTCCCTTAACAGTTCATCAGCGTAATACCTCAACCTACTTTTGGCACCAGCACTTAAACAGTGACTCTTTGACATTACATCTACAACAAAAGTTCTCTGCATGAAATTACATATCCTAAGGAATTTAAATTCTTGTCTATGAATGGGGAATTAGTTACATCAGACACTTCCTCAGATTACTACTTCATTTCAATAATAATTCACCTTTTCAACACAAAACCATGGTTCTAGACATACACATTGGGGCTCATAACACAAAACCCGTATTTTCTATCTCACAGTTCAGAAAAACTGGTATTTGAAAGTCGGGGTGACTCCCTCACCCGGAGCGAGTCAACAACCCAAACAAAACTTCCGACACACATACTGAGATTTTTTTTCTTTCGACAACATAGGCAGCACTGGATCTCCGGACTTCAGTTCATAAGAACTGGGATTTATAATGTTGGGGTGACTTCAGTACGACTGACGAAGTCAACAACCCCAAAAAAAACTTTTCAGACAATATAGATACCACTACTAATAGCTGATCTTCAAAAAGCATCCCGACAAACCATCTGAGCAACTGTCTCCCCGACCAAAAACTTTATAATTCAACAAATCAACCTAACAAACTGGAAAGCCAATACTATTCAATTGAAGCAACATTCTGGAACTATATTTCCTACAAATCCATTCTAACTACTGGTCTCCTCTGCCTCACAGGGAATCTACTTGCAGGTTGACCTTCCACATTTCCGTCATCACTTTCCTCATCTGTTTCGTCTGACCCCGAGTCCGAGGAAGAATCACAGGGTGGAAGTAAGGGCTCATTCAGCTGAACAAACATGTCTCTACTTACATACCTCTTTACTTTCTCAGCCGCTCTCTTTATCACCTCACTTTCATCCAAGGGGTTAGTCAACTCATATGCGGCACCATCTCGTATAATTTCTGTTATAGTGTACGGACCCTTCCACTTGGTATTCAACTTCCTATTGGTCCCAGGGTTGGGCCATTCATTCCTCACCCATACTGTTTCTCCTAACTGCATAGTTTGGTTCGTTCTTGATCTATTTGCTCTCTCTCTGGTCTCTCGTGACATCCTGGCAGACATCTCTTTTATCAACCTATGGGCTTCTTTCAACTCTTGACTGCTCTCACTCTCTATTATAGGTAAGTCAATCCCTACTTGTCTTTGTACATGCCTTGAAAAGAAAGCAAAATGAGGCTGTACTCCAGTTGTGGCATGGACAGACGTGTTCAGAGCCGACTGCACGGGACTGAGAAATTTTGGCCATTGAAGTGGATTATCTTCACACATGATTGCAAGTGTTGTTTTAAAGGTCCTGTGCATTCTCTCTGTGACACTATTACCTCTAGGGTGGTAAGGCAATGTAAAATAGTTCTTAATGCCAGTTACTTTACATAGTTCTCTAAATTGTGTTGCTGTAAATTCACCTCCATTATCTGCAATGACTACTCCAGGGCTACCAAAGACATGAATGAATTTACTAAATTCCCTGGTCACTTCCTGAGTGGATTTGGTTCTCAACGGGTAGAAATTGACAAACCTAGAATAGTGATCTATGACGGTCAACACATAGCGATACCCCTTCGCACTATTATGTAAGTCTGTCAAGTCCACAGATACTCTCTCCAAAGG